ACGACAATTACATTGACAACAATAACAAACAACAATAACAACAACAACAACAGCGACTTCAACAAGCACAACACGTATCATGCGGCTGTAGGTGGGTAGCCTCCAACGCCGTCGTTGTATGTACTCGTATATACATATATACGTATATTTTACAATTACAAGTTGATACTATTAAACAGTTAGTATAAAACGCATACTCGCATACATATTATTCATTGATTTCATAGTGGCGCCCTCATAAGCAAATAAATAAATGAAAACACCCACAGTTGAGATCAAATGAACTAGTTAAGGACTACTTTACAACTAGTATGAGAATTAAAAAATTGCACTTTTTAAGCTATCAATACTATATCAAGTTCGGAGTTGCCAGACCTCTGTTAGAAGTAAACTAGTCTCATACTAGTTTAAAATGGAACAAAAGGTTACTAGTTACAATATGATTTTAACAAAAGTATTGTTTTCGTAAGCTTGCTGCAACAGATCTTAGGCAGAAAGTTACCAGTTCGAACGAGTTCTAAAACATAAAGTTACTAGTGTCCTACTAGTTCAAAAAGGGACTAATAGATACTAGTTATAATAAGATTTTAACAATGTTCAAAAAAGAACCAAGAGATACTGCTTGCAATATGATTTCAATAAAGTTAGTAACTCTGCAACAGATCTCAGGCAAAAAATTACTAGTCTAATACTAGTTCGAAAGAAACAAAAAGTTGCCAGTTATGACAAAACTCACTGTTTTTAAGTCTCGTAGAAACAGATCTCAAGCAAAATGTTACTAGTTTGGTATTAGTTTGCGAAGTACCAGAAGGTTACTACTGACGATTTCAACGAAAATTGAGGTTATCTTCTTTCCGCTGAAACAGATTTCAGTCAAAATGTAATTAACACGTACTATTTCCCAAATATTCTTCAAGCAATTTTAGAAATTGAACACAAAATAACAGTATATTTATTATTTTGCATCGATACCAATTTGGTATTTTTCAGTTTAGTGCTGTTTCGGATGGGTAGAAAACTAGTACCTTTAGGTTCACTTCGCTGCAGAGTACCATGTACTGTCATCTAATAAATTAAACAAGTTCAAGTCTTTGTTTTTGTTATTATTTCTATACTAAAACGTATTTGCTTTTGTCCTACCGCTACCCTATTGTTGTTTTAATTTTACTGAAGCGCTTACAGTTATACACTGTTGTAATTTGTGTTAAGAACATTTTATAATTCGCGTCAAGTGCAGTGAATTGGCTCATTTTGTCTGTCCGCCTACATGGAAAAGTAGCGGTAAATGAAGTGTATGTATTTACACTTTAAGCTTGAGTGCAGCTGGTGGGAAAAAACAACAACAACAAAAGGGAATGAAAATAAGCCGCAGTGATTTGGTGATAACTCCACAGCTCGAGTGAATACCGAACTGAATGTGAAAGTGACTGGTTTTTGCTTGAGAAAAAAATATAAAAAAATGTTAATATCAAAATTATGAAAAAAGGCGGAGTCACGGGAGATTAGCATACATTTGGCTGAGTTTAAAGATTTCCTCCAAAGAAAGGTAATAGTTTTCTTGCATTAACATGGGAATACATATAAGTATTGTTATAAGAGAGTTATTAATGTCATCTAGTAAATAAACAAATAAATATAAAATTTAAATTTCTTTTTTTTTATAAAACAAGGGCGATGGGCAAGACGAAGCCGGAAGAAGAATCGGATTTGTGGTAGAAAATACGTAGAATCCATCGTCAAGGTCCTGGCAAAGTTTTTCAACATATCGGGGATATGCTGCTACGTTCCGACATTTGACGAAGATGTCCACAAACGCCCAGATTGCACTTACGAGTGTTGCTGGTGTCACGTATTCATAATTTTGTTTGTTGACCTTAACGGCAAGTTAGCCAAATAAAGTATCTTTCAGTGCAGATCAGGAGAAAAATTCAGAATTTGCGATGAAACATCTCCAAACAGACAGAGGCGCGATGATATGATACGAAATATGATTTTCTTTAGTACCAGATACCAACAAAAGAAAATTCATCAAGCTACATGACTATCAACACATCGAAAATTGTAACGGCATATCTATTATGCTGTTTTAGACTGATGACATCTCAACAGTGCTCTCGATTTACGTACGTTTCTAGAACTAAAAATTTTGTAGGATTACTTTTCTCTGGCGCAACAAAGAACACACGTTAAAAACCACTCGATACGACGACACAAAGCTTCAACACAACAGACAGCCAAAAGGTTTTTTACTCGGCTTGCACTGACGCTTTCTAAAGTCACTCGTCAGAAAGTCAATATAAGGGTACTTATGGACGACATTTCAAGCACCCTACGAACAGATCTCGCAACATAGCGAACGAGGAAAATACGTGCGGGGTGAGATAGATACCGTAAGCTGAAGAGAAATAGAAATAGAAAGAGCACGAAATGCGGTAGTTTTAAGAGCATGAGGAGCTGGGCAACAAAGAAAATGCTCGAAAATTCTACTAAAAGATACGGAGTAAACCCTTGCAGGACCCAGGGAGGTGAGCTAATTATCGATGCCCAGAGTATCCTGAAATCATTGAGGAAACACTTCTCCAGCCTGCTAAGTATCAGTGTAAATAGAACACCCGGGGATGGTAAGCCCGATTTCCCAATCAGCGACTACGGAACAAATGTTTCATTGCCGAATACCGACCAATCGACCGAATGCTGCGCTAAATTTGCGAAAAGTGCCGTAAAAAGACGTCGGCATACACCATCTCTTCGCCGATTTTGAAACAATACAGTTGGAGGCGGACCTCGATGATATTTACACTACCGGCCTCAACAATCGCGCCGTGAGTTCTGTATTCTCCAGACTAGTTAAAGAGGCGAAGGATATGGGTGTGGTAGTGAACGAGGGCACAATGAAATATTTCCTGTCATCAAAAAAGCAGTCGATTAAACCTCACTGTTGACTGTCATAACTTTGACGTCATAGATGACTTCGTCTATGTCGGAACCAGTATTAAGACCAATAATAATGTCCAAGGCAGAACTACTGTTACCAACAGGTGCTACTTTGAACTGAGTGGGTAATTGAAAAGTAAAGTCCACTTCCGACAAACGAAAACCAAACAATTTATAATCGTTCCCGTCCTGCTTTATGGTGTGGATGCATGGACGATGACAAAATCTGATGAGTTGGCTCTAGGAGTCTTCGAGAGAAGTGTTTTGCATAAGATTTACGGTCCTCCATGAGTTGGTAACGACTAATACCGCACCTCATGGAATGATAAGCTGTATGGAATACACCGCGACATTGAAATAGTTCAATGAATCAGAAAACAGTGGCTACGCTGGCTAGATCATGTGGTCCGAATGGATGAGAATACTCTAGCCTTGGAAGTTTTTCGATTCAGCAGGGGATGGTGAAGGCCTACACTCCGTTGGAAAAACCACAAAGAGAAGGGCCTGGCGCCAAACAGCGAAAAGTAAGGAATGAATGCGGCGATGTTGCTAACTCGGCCATTATCGGTAAGCGATGCTTCCGCCTGTAGATTTCGAGTATTCGCCTCAGAAATACTATTCAAACGGTAACGTTTGATTCTCAACTGCGAACGCGATTACCAATCGAAAGCTCGAGCATAAAGCGAATAAAATTTTTAGACGAATTTCAAAAGCTGTTTCACACTACTTTAATTAAATTTCCTTTTATTCATTTTATTAAATTATAGACAACTTTATTCGGACATTTGCGTGTGTATTCGCAAGAAAACAAAAAAAATTCTCTGCAATTTAGCACCTAAAATGTGGAACTTCCCGCTCTCTAATCATACGAAGAAAGCTCGTAAATTCAGAAATTCGTGGAGTGAAATCCCAACAAAGAATGCAATGAATGCGACTTTGATTGTACTCAACCACATTAAAAGATACTTAAAGTCTCACCTAAGAGTCAACAACAACACAAAAAGTAGATCATGATGTAAGTAAATTTGTGTGAGCCTCGGACACCAGCAGACTCCAGCAGCAGTAAAGAAAGGTAAATAAAATTTGACAATCAAAAATGAAAAATGACGCCAAGTCATTTAATTTTAAATAAATTTATTATAATCCCGCCATGTGGAAGAGCAAGCCATGAAGGATGGGGGTGCTGCAAGGTATGAACTCAACTCAGGTAGCCAAAGACATGGAGACTCTGCACATGGGCTGACTCTTATTTATGGACGACGTCTCGGCTGGTCATCGTTGCCGGAAGTGCAGAGTGAACTGAGCATATTATTTAACGATGTAACGGTACATAATTATTTGTATGTAAGCGTAGTTGTAAACTTGTGTGTGCACTTGGCCTCTATGGACGGCAGCCACTCAGAAATGCTGCATAAATCTTTTACAGAGTCATAAAAATGGCATTTGGGTGGGGTCCATTTAAGCGATGTTAGTAAGGAATGAAGATGCAAACTTGATTATAAACAACACTGCACACACCTTCACACATACAACCCAAACACCAACAAGCATGCATCGGCAATTAGGTGGAGCATCTGCTGAAGGAGATTGTCACACACACACACACCTGGTACGGGCTGATTGAAAAACTCAAAGACGAGTTTATGCTCTTAACAAATGACTCGAGGGATGGACGGGGAGGGCATTGGAGTTTACGAAATATGTAAACGGTAGCCTGTGAGCTGAGCTGGGCGAGAATTTTCGTCAGCTCATAAATTAAGCAAATGTAACGAAAGTTACAACCGCTGCCACCAAGACGCTAAGCGTCAAGCGCGCTACTGTGTGTGAATTCAATTACAAGATGCTGTTGCACGCTTTCGGCGGAGCTGGGCTGGGTCGTCCTGTGCCGACGAAATAGAGACACTCTTAGAATTACTTAATTCGGTTGAAGTAAAATTTTATAACCCAGCTCACAGGCTCCACGCCCACAAGCTCTATCATAAGAGTAATGAAAAATAAAACAACAACAAAATAACCGCCACACATAATACTACAGAATCACTTTAATATCCAAAAAGTGTGCTTACCTTCGTATGTTGCGTTGTATGGACCGTGTCACTGCTGACATATCACATGCACCCCGATCGCCCGGCTTACGGCCCTCTAGTCGGCTACTGCATGAACGGCCGTCGAGTGTGGCGTAGATATGTCGACGTGGTACATGTGCGGTGTACACATTTCGCGGTGTCGGTATTTTGCTCTTCATGGCGCGTGGACTCGGCTCAAAACCGGAATCCTGATCTTTACTTGATTGTGCGGCATGCGCGTAACTGCCAGTTTGCTCTGTGCTACCGTCGTCATCATTTGTTTTACTCTTCCAATTGCTGCGCGTCTTCGGTCCGCTCTTCACACGCTTCTTTAAACGCCGTTTGCGACCGTTTGTGCAATCGTAAACGCCTAACACGGCGCTGGTGGGTAAGGAGCCCTCAAAACTACCCACCCCATGCCGATTGCGTAAGCCTGCCGAATTTTTTAGCTGTTCCTGCTTATCGTCCTCTTCATCTAAGTGGTCGTCAGTATGCTCGGCAGCCGCTTGCCTATGCTCGTCGTCAGCTGAGCTCGGTTCGGTTTCGAGATATGGTTTACCCAAACGTAGTTGGGGCTCAGAAACTATTTTGAAAACTTGGGAGTCGCTAAATTCGTGTTCTTCTAGGTGACGGCCTCCTTCACCTGCGGACTCGTCGCTTTTCAATATTTGGAAGCTTGATTTGCGTACCACCTCTTCACCACCGTCATCCTCGGCTGAGTCAGAAGGCAATAAAGTGAAAGAGCGTCGGGACTCTTGCTCTCGCGGCGGTTTTTGTGTGTCAGTTTGTGGTTGGGCTTGCTGAGCGGAAGTCGTGTTAGACGGAAGTGTTGTTTGGTCTGCTGTGGACTTTTCTTCGGAAGTAGCTTGTTCGACTGGTGCATCCGTGGAAGTATCTGCTGCTTCAGTTTTATTATCAGCAGGTGTTTGGGGTGTTCCTTCTGCAGCTGTGACGTCATGAATTTGTGCTTGGGCAGTTGAGGTCTCAGCAGCGGCTGCTTTGATTTCTCCCGACGGAGCGGCAGTAGCCACGCTAGTTGCCTCCTTAGCTTCGCTCGCCGGTGCGGGACTTGGCAAAGGCGTTGGTATTGGCGTTGGTGGAGTTTCGGTGACATTAGGTACAGTTTTGGCCACTTCCTCAGGTTTTTCAGTTGACGGTTCCTCAATTTTTACAACACTTGCTTCGGCTATATTTTTCTCTTCTACTTTCAACTCCTTACCCTCGTTCTCTGCTGCCACGAGCTTTTCATCTTTAATAGCCGAATCATTAGTCTCAATACCACCATTACCGCCATTTTGAGCATCACTTTCGAGTGCGAGCGCAGCTATTTTCATAACCTGATCGACTTCCTTCCGCATCTCATCTGCAAGATCACTCATCTCTGCCATCTCATCTTTTGTTTTCTCTCCTTCGGCCTTATCCACTATCTCTATCTGCTGCATTGAGTTTGCATCCTCTTCGCGATGCACGTCAACATGCGTTGTGACGAGCTCCGCGGCTGGTTTACCCTCTTCGTCAGTTAGCTCCATAGAATGACCTTCAGTTTGTTCTGTAGATTTTATGAATGTGGATTCTTTACCTCCAGTGCCCAGAGTGCCTGCTGCAGCAGGCGTAGTGGCAGATTGTGGGCGACTGAGCTTTCCCGAAGGTTCCTCGCCATCATTTTTAGATTGTGTTTCTATATCATCCTCAGCCTTGGGAACTTCTCCTTCACCCTCACGCACCACTTCTACTTCTCGAATTTTACGCTTTTCCGGCGAAGATTCCTTTTCACTGCTGCGATCCCGTCCTTCTTTGTCCTTGGGCCGGCGTGAGGAAACTGACTTCCTCCGTATGACACGTTGCTTCTGCCTCTTGTGATAACAACAGTTTTCGCAAGAATCTTCATCGTCTTCGTTATCCTCCCACTCGCCTTTATCTTCCCACTCACTGGAGCTCGCGTAGCGTTCACGAGACTTGTGTCGGCGTATTTCAATATTGCTCTTCGAGCGACAAATATCAATTTCCCCACCTTCGTTTTGCTGGCACTCCTTCGGCTCACCACAACTGCTGGTACGCCGCCGCAACTGCCGTCGTCGACTGTGCTGTCGATGTCGCTGACAAGTGTGCGCAAACTTCTGCTCTCGACGGTAAGTACGCTCATGGCAGCTACAATTACTATCACCCTCGCCGCCATTACCTTCCGAGTCCGAGTGTTTCAGGTAGACAACATATTTTTTGGAGTTCTTCAAATCATGCAGCTCCTCCTTTTCCACATACCGCAATGGACGAACCATATCAGTGCTCACATCATGAAATGGATTCGAGCGACGTGCGGCCAAGCGTAGCTTACTAGCTGGCAACCCGCCATGGGACTGTAAGAATTTGGCAGTGGAACGATGACCCTTTTGCAGCGCACAGTCGAGTGGCGTGTAGACAACACCTTTGCTATTACGATAGATGGCATTGATATCGCCGCCATAGTCCAACAACATCTTGCACACATCTGTGTAGTCATTGTTCGCAGCAATGTGGAGAAGACTGCGTCCGTCATTGCTCGTCGTGTTAACCTGCTTGGGTCGTTGCTCCAGTAGCCACTCCACAAGCTCACGCCTGCCTGACGAGCTCGCCTCGTGCACAGGCAAGTCACCTTTAGCGTTGCGCAACCACAGATTAGCACCACGCTCTTTTAGCAACTTAACCGTTTCGAATTGGCCCTTCGAGCAACCACAATGCGCGGGTGTACGTCCCTTGCGATCTTGCCGATTAGGATCCGCCTCTAAATCAAGTAGACGAGCGGTGGCATCTGCATGTCCCAACGTCACCGCGTAATGCAGTGCCGTACAACCATTCGAGTCTATCAGGTCCGTTGGCGCGCCACACAGACTAATCAGTGTGTCAATGCACTCGGTGTGCCCACGTGAAGCAGCACAATGTAGTGCCGTCAAGCCATCTCTACAAGAAATAAATGCTTAAATTAGTAAATCGTAATTTCCGTCAAGTTTGCGAATACGACAACATACTTATCTGCACTCTCTACACGTGCACCGGCCTTCACCAAGGCAATAACAGCTTTTGCCGAGCCCGCGGAGGCAGCCCACAACAATGGCTGTCGTCCGTCTTTGTCCTGCACATCAACACTGGCATGCGGGTGGGCGAGCAAAATGCCGAGTATCTCCAATGCCAGCTTAGTGGCATTTGCCTGACCCATTTTCTTGTCAACACTGGCGCCACACATCTGGGCCGCATAATGGAGCGGTGTGCCGCCGTTCAAGTCCGGAATCGCGATATTCGCACCAGCCGCTAGCACCGAACGCAAAGCCTCGACCTCGCCACAAACTGTAAGGAAACAACGGTACATATGTTATCGACGTATGGATGTGTATTGCATGGATGTGTGCAGATGGTTGGTACATTCTATTGTGGTTAACTGATGTGTGTAGTTATGCGCATTTCGATGTGCCTTGTGTGAGGGTGTGAGCTGTAAAGGTGTCAGAATGCCACATACAAGCTCATCGAATGCACATACCTTAACAATTGCTTGGTGTGACACAGGTCTGTATGTTTGTAATTAGCTTTCCCTGGATACTTACCCGTCGCCCAATGCACCACGGAATGGCCCTCTTTATCGACCGCATTCACGTCGGCTTTATTCGCCAGCAGCAAATTGACCATCGCCAAGTTGCCCTGAATAACAGCCAAGTGAAGCGGCGTAAAGCCATCTTCGTCAGCAGACTCCAGTAATTCTGGAGCTGCGACGGCGATGCTGGCAGCCGCCACGAGTTCACGTGTCTCTGCGTTCTGTGCGGCACAATAGTGTAGCGCGTTCTTGTTGTGGCTGTCACGTTGTCGCAGGCACTCCGGCTGAAGGCGGTCAGGCAATGAAGAGTGAGAGACATCATATCATGCGGTTTTCAAAGTTGAATTAGAATTGCATGGGGAAAAGAAGAAGAAAATTGTGAAAAATTTCATTATTAGTCAAAAAATAACACTGGAGGGAACTATTGTAGTTTCCCACAGAGAATCTTAATCTGAAAAAGAATTTATTTATATCTGATATGGTTATTTTCGCAGAATAAGAAGACGCATCCATAAACAGGTACGCCAAAAGAGGCACCTCACTATGTGGTGTCAGTTAACACCTTGATTCGCATGCTAAGCAACCCTGATTGTTATACGCTTATGACGTCTTCCTCACAGTGAATGGATGACTCGCCTCTGAATTGAGTTTTAAATGGTATGCAGCTGGTGCTGGGGGTCACCGTCTTATAAACCGCCCTTACTCCAAGACTTCGAGATCAGTTTCCTACCGAGGTCAAATACCTTTACCACTGTTCTTAAATAGTAAACTCACCTCCATCGAAAAGTTAGTGATGCTGCAAAGAGTAAGCAAGCTGACGCCACATTATACGTCTGCAAGGTGGCGATCGTTAGAAGATGGGACTAAGATAACATATTGTATATTGGCCGGCCCTAGACTAAGTCATTTTAAGAGCAAGTTGGACGTTCCCCATAATAATTACACAAACACTGCCTTCAACTAGTACCAAGCCCTTGATCTCCTTCATCTTCCTTCGTCAGACTTGATGAGAGAAATGATGGACTGCACAAGATCTGTTTTCTGTTTTAACAACACTTTCTCAACAAAAGTCTCAAAGAGGATTTAGATGTAACAACTTTGGTTCAAAGATCCGTAGCTATCTTCACCGACTTCTCAAAACATCGACGAGAGTTCCAAGGTAAACCCTGCACACGATGGTATCCTATCTCGTTTCTGCTAAGAACATCCTTCAATAGTAGAGCCAATAGCAGCTGGCAGATGACAGTTTTACCCTGCCACAGTTTAATTTACAATTTAAGTAGACAAGAGAAGATAACAAAGTATATTTTCCTTCCAAACTGGGCCAGGTCCTTCGTAATTGTAATGACACTATCTGATGGAGTCTCATGGTAGAAGGATGGTTTACGCCTTTGGGGCACACAACATAAATTGGACTATGACCTCGGCGAAAATATATTAGATTACATTCTTAAATAAATGGAAATAAGAGAGGAAATCAAAGAAGATTTCAGCAGTATTTGAAATAGAAAGGCTTTTGAAGACCTGTACGGATAAAGGAAGACTTTACGTGAGTTTCCACGGTAACATCTCATAAACGAGAGTCGTTAAAGGAGGACAAAGTTTAACGATCGACCAGAACACATTCAAAATGATAAATACAGAGAGCTGAAGAGGGAGGCTAGACTAGCTATTGCCCTCCTAAAGAATCAGAAAACGGCAGTAGCTGATCGGCTTACCGGGTTGAACTATTTGAATTTGACAGCGAAGAACTGACCACATGCATTCACCAAGTTCTGTGCAGTGAATGAAAAGTGAGTGTAGTGAGTCTGAGCAAATTTTGGTGCGATAAGCATCCTAAATATGATCCGTTATGTCCTTGACTTTGGTCTTTATAAATCTATCCTTGACCTTGGCCGTAGAATCGTCGTTGCTAAATTTCGGACAAGACCTGCGAAAAGCGAATCGATGTACCTTAGGATCTGTAGCGTGTAGGTCACATTGAAGGTGACAAGGCAGCGGACCCGAGCGATGTTTTTCACAGTTTCTCTTTGTGACAGCTGATTAATACTTAGTTTTTGTTTGCCGTTTCACAACGACCCATCTTATTCGGCAACAAAGTTTCCAAAATGGTCAAAACTATTGTTTGTTTCGTGCAACACTCTGAGCGCCGTTGCCAATTTTTCATCGACAAAACCGCCCAGCAGAGCAGTACATATACTCAAGAGGGTGCCGCGCATCATATAACATGAAAATGGAAATGGCTACAAGAAAATTTCTTTCGGTGACAAAACTCACTCTTGGTTGCATGGGTATGACAGACAATAAACAAAATTATCGCATTCGGAGGAACGATAATATACAAGCCATTGTGGAGACGTCGTTACATCCCCCAAAAATTCATCTTTGATATGCTCTATGGGCAAGGGAACCACACCACATTGTTTGTCTTCACAGATAAGACCGAGATGATTAACGTCTTGGCGGAGAATATTCGGTGGTTGGATTTAGTTGAAATTCTTCTTTTTTACGGGAAATGGATCAATCTATTTCGAAAAATACACATAATCCTAGTTCGATTTAGTTGAATTGTTGGACGATATGATTTAGTTTCCAGAGGCCTGGAACCAAACTCCATTCACTCCAAATATAAATAAAGTAAAAGGATCGCCGACCCACTTTGAGCAGCGAGGAGGTGACACCAAATAAGTAGTTGGACCAATAATAAAAACAACTTAATATTTTGGCTCAGTTGACACTTAATAACGGTTTTAATCGCTCTTTGCAAAACCAATTAGAAAAAAAATTGAGCAGAATATATGTAAAAAGACAAAACAACGTGTGACCGAGTCTGCTAAATTGATTTATTTTAATTTTTTGCAATAATCAATTCGCTAAAAATGTGTAGATAATCAATAAAAACAACCTATTTGGCTGAATGTAAACATTAAAAATTAATAAAAATATTGAATCAATGTTAAAACGTAAAACAAGAAGGCAAAAAAAAAACTTTTTTTGAGTTGAATTAGTAAAATGATGATTTTCGCAAATATTTCAATTTTAAAAATGGTAATGACAATTTCTGCATAAAAATATACTAAATTTTTAATAAAGATAAAATTATGCGACTCATTACACACTCCATTTGCATCATTAAAATGGAATTTCTCATCATTGGTGTAGTAAAAAGAAATCCATTATTTTTCGAATATTTGGAGTTTTTTTATCTGTATCTCGGGATGTGCAAGTCCGATCGGGTTCCGCTAGATGGCGTTAGAAAGATAACATTTCGAACTAAAATCTCTTTTCAGACAGTTTTGTGATTGATTTATTCAGTTTTGTTTGAGCGTGCGTCAAAGAGAAAATAAAGGCGAAAACGTAGGCCAGGCTGTTGAGAATGTGAATAGAGGTTATCGTCTGGATAAGGAGTGTAAATCCAGTTGTCGAAATGTCGATAAAATTATGGAATTTGTCGTCCGACAGTCATGTAAGCACTGTTTAGATTGCCCAAGAGCTAAAGATTGTACAAACAACCGTTTGGAACCATTTGGATAAAGCTGGATACAATAGGAAAAAATTAACCCATTCATTGTCATGCAAAAATTATGGATTTCTTTTTACGACACCTAATATTCGTTTTACATCGAATATTTTTATAATATCAGGTGTACAACTTTGCTTCCGCCGTTTTCTGATAGGTGGCTGTACCGGCTGAGGCTGGTTGAAATGCATAGATGATAATGTCATTGAAGTGAGTGTGGACAGTGCCTAACGAATTGTCATCGCCGTTTCAGTGACAGTTGTTCTTCGTATTATTCACGCTCGAAAATGTCCGTTTATGTGCCTAATTCTCGCCATTTGCGGGAAGTATTACTTTTCTGTTACAATTCGAAAAAAAAAAATGCAGCTGAAGCGCATCGAATGCTCTCAGAAACTTACGGTGATGCTGCTCTGAGTGAAAGAGCGTGTCGGGAGTGGTTTCAACATTTTAAAAATGGTGATTTCGATGCCGAAGACAAACATGGTGGTGGAAGAGAAAAAAACCTTAAAAGATGAACAAAAAAAAAAACGGGTGAAACCATTACAGGAAACGCAACTGATGCGCCTTAGTCGCGCGCTAAAAGAAAAGCGGCCACAATATCAAGAGCGACATGACAAAATCATCCTCCAACTCGACAATGCTTGGCCTCACGTCGCAAAAGTGGTCAAAAAGTACCTGGAAACGCTGAAATGGGAAGTCTTCCCCAGATGTCGCCCTTTCAGACTTCCACCTATTCCGTTCGTTGGCACACGGCTTGGCAGATCAACATTTTCAGTAGTTCGAAGAATAGGAAAAATGGATTGCTTCATGGATAGCGTCAAAAGAGGTCTCCTTTTTTCGAGCCGTGATCGGAAAATTGCCGGAAAGATGGGAGAATTAATTAATCAAGCTTTTAATTTTGGAAAAAAAGGCGGTAGCAAAGTTGTACACCTGATATATATTTAAGTTAGTAATTTTTCCCCACTAAATGCAAAATCCTGATTATAAAAATGATAAGGTCAAAAATTTTATGAAATTAGTTTCCTTCAATACAAATAAAAATGTGATTTTTTTTATAAAACATTTTTTAATCTAATAGAAATGAAATATGGATTTTTATAATTTTTCCTTATTTTTATTTTTATTTTTATTTTTTTTATTTTTTTTCGTAATTTATTACCATATAAAGGTAAATTAAAAAGCACATATGTCGTTGATCAAAACACTGAAATATGGTTAAAATTAGTAAAAAATATAGATAAAAATATACAAAAAAAAAAAAAATAAATTGTATATCAACATATTAGTTAAAATACTTTTTTCTCAGAAACAGTTTATCTCGCCATGCCTTTACATAACGCACATACAATCAGATAAACATTTACGGTTATATGTTTACATTACATTGCAGAGATGTGCAGATATTAAATTAAATAAAAATGTTTACATAATTACAAATATAGGTTTCCATAGTTTAACTAACAACAACCTCACAGATTTTACACATTAATATGTTATTTATAAATTTAATTATTTTATGCAATTGTTTTTGCGCTTACCGCAATTTCAAACCTGACACACATATATACATCTGCATCGCTGCTTAAATAATTAATTGCAATTTAAATCAGTTCGTAATGAAAACATTTAGAAATTACACAATATTTCTGTACATATAGGTCAAGTAAAGGACAGTCAATTATTTTTGCTTAAACTGAAAGCTTCGTTTATCATAGAGTTGGGATTTATGTCATACGTATATGCACCGATTTGCTCGATGACTTT